TAATAGGAATTTAGTCTTTCTAGGTCGCTTAAGTCGTTTTATTGACGGATAGTTGAATTGTTACCACAAGGAGATAAGAATGCCTTATGATGCCAGTGAATTTCACTCATCCCTTCCTCCAAAAAAGCTATCCTATCTATGCTGGACAGCATTTTCGACTTCTCTTGGGTCTCATCAGCACCTCCGATGGGATTGGATTCGTGGGTATCGTAGCGACATTTCCAATCTACTATCTAGCCACAGGTATCAGTGAGTCACAGGGCTGGTGTGGCTTTTTAGGCAAGCAAGACATTCCCAAATCACAATTATAGTGAGAATCTAGATTAAGCAAATATAAATTTTTATTCATGAAACCTACTAATACCGTAAATAAGTAACGTCGTTGATTGCAATGGCAATTAGCTGTTCACTTAATCGAAAATCACATAATATATGTGATTCGGGAGAGGTTTTATCTGCCTTGAATCTCACAGCTACTCTGTGATCCACTGGCACCTGTGGCTGGGTAGTGGAGTAGTAACCAGTCGCGATTTTACATGCATGATGAGGTGGTGATTCTTTTTGGGGTTGCGGGTGAGATCTAGGCGAGGCCTAAACTCCGATTCAGCCTGGCTGAGATAGCCTTTTGGTGGGCAAAACTAACTGCACTTCACTGGTCTTGTGAGGCCTATTCATTTCGTTGTCGGAAAAATTCCACTAAGAATTGTTAAATTACCTTAAGATTTATAGGGTGACTTAGTAATTTTGCCGTAATTACGGATAGCTTTTATAATTATACTCCTGGGTAATGGCTAAATCATTGATATATGTCATTTAACTTGAAACTTACTTTCCACCTTGGCATGAGGTCAAGAGGACTGAAATTTCGCTTAGTGATGCTAGTAGAAATATTCGTTTTTATCAGATTCCGTCTCGTTATGCACCAACTATGAAAATGACAAATGTACACGCTTCAGGTGAGCTCAGAGCTCTAAGGTTATCCACTTGAATGTCTCCCGATCAGTTGCACTTCCTTTTTCTCCCAGGGACCGTCTTGTTGTGTCTAGATAAACACAGAGTCTACGCTAGTCTTGCCGAGTATTCTCTCCCAAAAAGCTGTTCTTATTCCTTTACACCACTCTACGAGTAGCAATGCCCTTTTTTATGCTAAGACAGCATCCACCTCAATTCGGTGTTTGCGGGATGATATCGCAGACCACGTAGACGCCATGCAGGCGGTGGGCCTCATCCACAGGCTAAATGCCTCGTATTAGCCTCGTTTCTAATGCTGAAGCAGCGATATCTTCATAACCGTCTCTTCCCTGGCGGAATGAGGGCTCAATTCTGTGCTGGTTCAGCCAGTACATGAGTTCGAGACTCTTGGTCCGGCTAGTTCGATATGACCTGGCAATGTTATTGCGCGAATGAGGACTAATGAATGGCCAGATTTCATAGAATCTCGATAAATCTGTCACAGAGTCGACATTGCCGGCCATCATTTGGCATGCCTGAAGGTCTCTCTGACCTAAAGATGGCAAGTGATAAGACGTCCGTCCGTAAGGGCAGTTTCTCGACACTCATATTAACTTCTGACGCTCTGACTCATTCGCTGATTCGATTCGTGATTTCGTATAAACTACTGCCCTCATAGCCATGGTGACAAACTGGGTAAGTAAAGGATTTTCTGGATATTAGGTACGTGATAAAAAGTTAGCATTTTTTATGTGGGTCGTAGACTGTCGCAACTTTGATGCATTCAGTTGTCTTCACTTTGTAGCATGCCCAAAGCAGCTGGACTCCTTAAATTTTGCGCCTTCTTTTGAAATGGTTACTTCTCACAGGAGTGATGCGCTTCGCTGCGAAGTGGAACTGGTCAATGGTCAGTGGCGTCCGAGGCCGGGTGCTACCTGCCTCGTCTCTGTAGTCGTGGTTCTGGAACGCACTCTGCTGCTACCAACAGAACCATCCCGGCCTCAGCTCGACACAAGCCCGGTGCATATTGTCATCTCCTCACCGTCTGAAGACGACCCGTTGCAAGCGTCTCAGCAGAGGCATTCGACGGAGACGGCTGCCAGGAGCCTCGCACCTCAGAAGAAAAGAGTTGGTCGGTTTCTCTACCCATCTAGTCCGAAGGCGAATCGTCTGGCAGTGACGCGCAAGTCGAAATCACCACCTATTCCGCCTTACCGCTCCTCGACTGACTCCACGAAACCGACTCTCGCTGAGCCCGTCAATCAGCCGGACACTTACAAACTGTTCATCGTTGCCGTGGATGCGAGTTCGGGGCTGCGTTACCTGCAGTGCCAGCACGAGGGCAACTTCGTCTGGCCGGCAGCATGCCAAAGGCCTGAGCTCAAGTCGGCCAAAAGATCAGCAAAATACGAGCTGCCCGAGCAAAGTTCTGAGCCTGAATTGTCATCTAAAAAGGAAGAACGTTCGCACTCGTCAGACCCCAATTTATCTAACAGCCAAGCTATCAAGAATGCTGACTTGCACTCGAAGGGAAAGTGGTGGAAGCGGCGACACAATCATTTTCACCCTGTCAAGTCAAAGCTGAACTTGCCTCTGGTGAGGGTTCAAGAGACAGGCGCCAAGATATCAAGCGAAACCGAGACCAAAGTCAAACTGTCAGAACTGCAAGACTTGAAGACGACGTCCAGAGTACAACAAGAGGTTGACTTGCGATTCACGCCAGAGCAGTTTGGCGAGTACCGGGTCATTGTAAGTTCCTTTCTTGGTCAATAAAAAGAGAGGAGGCATGGTCTCCTTGTCTGCCCACTCGGCACACTTTCCACACAGCTCCGACGGTGCAAATCCCACAATCATTTTTCTGTCCTATTTAGCAGCGAACTTGCATGTCAAGCCACTCTAGCAGCCTCTGATCTCAGCTTCATGCAAAATCATATTTCCCCAGAGCTATTAGTTGCAATGCCCCTTCTGTATTGATACAAGTAATCGCTAGCATGGACTGTAAAACTTCGCCTTTCTAAGAGGGGATTTTGAGAATCCCCACGACAGCAAAATCCATCAATGGATTATGGATCTTTATTGATCTAGATAGAGGTTTCGGCAAGAGCATTAACCTTTTTCGAAAGGTGGATTCGTTCGTCCACACCATATACGGGTAATTGAAATTAACCTTTTCCGAAAATAAGTTAAGAGTATCCCTTTACAGCCCCTTAACTTTCTTCTCTGTAATTCACTAGCAAATGACCGTGGCCCATAATCTCTTTTATAATAGGTGTAAATAGTCCTCTAGATATGCATCATTGACATACAGCTTACCCTCACTTTTATAAAATGTTGATTTAGAAAATCCAAATTAAATAAGCTAAAGAATGACTGGATCTTTACATTCTTGGATTATGGATTTTAAGGATCTCCTTGCAATGCAAAGAGTTTTACCTGAAAAATATCGTGAAACCTTCCATTTTTAGAAAATGAGTTACTCTGATTCATTTTTAATATACCATCAAGCGGCTTTGGACCTTCATCTTTCCACAAATAGGATTTTGAAGATCACCATGAAATGTAACATCAAAGTATTGTGATAAACCTACTCTCTATAAGATTGGTTTCTTGAACCGGCTTTATATGCATCGCTATCGAACGGTTAACTCTCGCCTTACTGGATAATGAAAATAGAATTTTAAAATTTATTGGGCTCCTTCATTTCTATAAAATTTGCTTTCAGATTCTGCTTAAAAGGCAGCATCATGGAAACTCAGATCCTCATTTATTTCGAATGTAGCTTGTGGGCATTCCTTTGAAATTCTCATTGAACGGACTGTAAACCGTTTTCTACATATAGTAAATGATAATCTTTATAGAAGTGTATGAAGTCCAAAATGGTG